TCTCTCTCTCTCTCCCTCCCTATCTCGAACTCTCGCATTCTTTATCCCTACCTTGGTTTGCTTATGGGCGGGCGAAGGCCGTGGTCTTCGCACGTGGGTGCTCCATACATCACATTCACCGCAGGATGCACTCTGCCATGTCAGATGTTGCGCCGGGCTCGGCTGATTCTCTGACTTTGTGACCACTTGTGGGTTGTGGCTAGCACGAGGCCTTCCAGATGTTGGCCGTTGCCGAAATTGGCTACATCCTCACGGATGTATCTCTGCGGAGTACCCGACAAAGTACGTGGTGGAAGGAGGGCTGCTTTCTTTTGTCGTTCCCTTGACGAGACAAGGCACTTGATGGTTCACGCCACCAGTTGATCCTGCAGGTGCAGTGGCTTCTTCCTGTGTTGACCTATGGCACCTACGTCCTCTGTGCGAGCACGTTCAGCCAGAGGACCGAAGCAGCGAACTACGGACTTGGCCGCTGCTTCTCCTTCTTCTTCGTAGGCTGTTGCGAGGCGCCGGGTGGCTGAAGATGCAGCTTGGCATGGCGACGACGGAGACCGTCTGAAGCTGGAGGCGCGGGGCCAAGAAGTGTCAGAATTCCTTCGACGGTTGAAAAAGAACACAACAAGAATGCAACAGCAGACCAGACCACAGCAGCAAAGATTTCTTTCTTCAGGTGGCGGAGGAAGGCCATGCTTGGCCCATTCGGCCGAGCAGGACGGCCTTTTTCTCTCTGTGAAAATGAGAGACTGGCTGTGGTCTTTCCGCCCCTCTGTCCAGCACGAGGCCAACGCGCTTCCGCCGGGACGGCCCAGCAAGAGAGGCAGAGTCTCTTTTTCTTCCGGCTTTGGGGGGGTGGTTTTCGGGATCTGAGTAGGTAGACCCGTCCATGGCGGCCGGTTCGCTTGGATGCCAGGAGCTTGTGCAGAGTGAGCCGTCACGGAACTGGAAAGCTGCTACTGTGCAGAGGAATTGTGGAGCAAAGACGGGCCTGCAGCCTAGAGTTAAGGCACTTTCTTGTCCTGTGCAGTTTTCCTGCAGGCAACGCCGGCACGCGACTTCCACGGTGGCTTTGGCAAGATTCTGGCAAGGACGCAGCGGTTCTGGACCAGACGCGACAGGTCCGTCAGGTCGCAGGGACCTGTTGTGCCCTCGCTGTGCTGTACGTCCTGTTCGACTGCATGGGCCGCACCTGGCTCAGCAGGCCCGAACTCGTTGAGGGCATGTCGCAGAAAGTCCGAAGGCCTTTCATGTGTGGCGGGCGCATCGCCTGACATGATGGGATTCATTGCCAGAGCCTGAGAAAAAAAGGGCAAAGTAGGCGCAGGAGAGAGGCTCAAGGTGTAGCGTAGCAG